GGCAGGGCGTGGCAGGGCGTGGCAGGGCGTGGCAGGGCGTGGCAGGGCGTGGCAGGGCTTGGCGGGGCACTGGGGCACCGGGACCCTCTTGGCGCGCTGTGTCTCTAGAGAGGAGACCCACTCCGCCCCGCCCTCTCTCTCACGAGACGGGGCGGAACACTAAGGACAGGCGTCTCTACGCCGCGAGCCCCGCCACAAGTCTCTCACACGACGTTGAATTAATAATATAGTAACCAGGCTTCCCAAATCTGTAATCATGTAGTTTCATCGAGCTTCGTCCGCAAAGCAACATAGTTGGCTGGGTGGGTCTTATCCTATCTTGCACTCACTTCTCTATCAGCCAATCTTTCGGGATCTTTATCAGGGGTTGCCAGTGTTAATAGCGCTTTTCATAGAGTAGGCATAATTGCAAAACCTTATAAATATGAAATACATGGCGTGAGTGAAAGTAAACTATATAGCATCATTCAAAACATCAAACGGACTGACGGAATAATGTTTTAAAACCGTTTTTTGGCAGATGACACCTTAAAAACCCTTTGACTAAACATAAAGAATATATTGTAAGTAACTTTAAGGTGTCAGCTAACTTTTACTCTCGATACGGAAAGAGAACCCATAAGCAGAGGCCAGAAAACAAATTCTTTGATACTTGGGGAATTGCGAATGAAAAGTGAGTAATGAATTAGTGTCGCGCTAGGCCCCTTATCTTACACGTTGGCTAACAACTGCGCCGGGCAGGACCCTGGAGCAAGCCCCGTGTCGAAACTATATTGGACCACTGAAGCCGGCCGTTCTGACCATCTTCCCCTTATCTGCTCCTTAAAAATAGCCGAATAGCAAGATTGCAAGTGACAAGCAGCTACAAGCAAAGAACACTTAATATGAGACAAAAAATACAACACAGAGCACATACCACAGACCTCTTTTCAAATTTGTTTCATCTGCTTTCAAGATCGATCCTTGATTGAAATTTTAAACTTTTATCATGGTTTTCGTTTGTTTTCATGATTTGCGTCGCTCGCTCACTCGCTTGTACGGCAGGATAGTTTCCTCACAAAACTTACTTATATAGTTTACTCAAAGGGGTTTAATTATGCTAGAAGGGGTTAACTTACAGAGTTAACCACCAGAATTTACTCACAGGTTTACTTACTAAGTTTACTCACCAAAGGGTTTTCTCAGAGTTT